TTTGCAAATTTTACTTTATAAATTATCTGATTTGACATTCTGCACTAAAAATCTGCTTATGAGCCAAGAAGAGCAAGGGACATGCTCCTCTTGGCTGAAGCAGACTCTGTGGACAGAGGTTTTTTTGCTGCTTTAGTACAGACCACCCCCTGCCACTGAGATGAAGACTCACAATGTTGTTTCTAGATCACCACATATCTAGAAATAGATAGGTACGCTGGGCTTTGGGTTTGAGTCCACACACAGAGCCTCCTGGTTTTCTGCATTCAATCAAAACTGCATTAATTACACTGCAGAGGTGTCATCCTTGCACAGAAACACAGCACAGAAGTGCCAACCAAAGTTGTCCTCCCTACCTGCGCACCCAAGTCCACCCCAGGAGTGAAAGAGATAACTCTTAATCCTTAACCTAATAAAATAATTCTTAATCTGTAACTTTTATTTCATACATTTTTAATGGACCGCATCAAGACTATCAGCCCATGTTATTTAGGAGCATTTGCCTGGGACTGGCAGTGAATATTTTACACTGAAGTTATTTCACAAGAAAGAGGCGAAATGGTGCCAAGATAGGCTATAAAACTAAGCATGTGTTAATAGCATCTGTTACAAATAAGGCTGGATTCCACTTTCCATTGTCTTACTCCTTTTTCCTCAAGTTGTTTAAATTTTCCAATTCAAAAGGAATTTGGCTGAAGATCTTCCTTACTTGGTCTTGACCTAAGGAAGGACTGCTCGCAGAAGGGCCGTGCAAAATCTATTACAAGCCTTTAAATAGTGAGAGCACGAGGGAAAAGGAACACAAACTTCTCCTTGGACATTCAGACTCGAAAAAAAAATCAGGTGCAATAAATGAACCCCTCCAGTCTCTCACTGTCTGAGCCCAAAAATAAACTGTAGCAGCTCTGTTTGTGCTGCTAATCCAAACGCAGCATGTGCCTCCCTGTTCCTAATGAACGATGCAGCAAAGTGTGTTGTTTAAGTTACTCACCAACACACATTACTTTAAAGGACTTACCCTCTGGGGCCATCAAGTAATACTGGAAGGAGTATATAATTTACTTGCTCAACACCTTACTTGGGAATAAATCTACCATTTTGGACATGCTCTCTTAGTATTCCCATTAGAGACAAGCTTTTAGAGCTCTAAAACTCAAACAGCCCAAAAAGAAGGGGAGCTGAATTCTACAGATCTCTTCAACCTGTGGACGCACCAAATAAAAACAGAAAAAAGGCAAAGACAGAAATGGCTACCATGTTCCCTAATGAAACTGGGCACCCCATTATTACCAGTTTTCTCCCTTTTATTCCATGGGGGAAAAAAAACTAAAATTAAAATTAAAAAATAAGTAGATACTGCAAATTCAGAAAATAAGCTATCACCACATGAAGCCAAAATACCCTAAAAAGTAATATAGTTCGTGTAAAAGTACTTTACCTATAATTACCCATGTAGTATTTTTATAGTCTCCTTCAACAACCTTAAAAGAATGTCATGAGTTAACACTGCAGAAACACTCGAGAGACTACAAACATGCTAATAACGTGCACGCTTAGTACTAGCATCTAATCCTGAAGAATACGAAAGCTGCTCATGAGGATACAGCCGGTAAATTGAACCATCTCTTTAGCAGAATATGGTCAGGCTGCAATGTAAGGGGTGATGCATGTTCAAGCAGAATTTGTGTTCTTTTCTTCTATTTTTATTTTTTTTCTTGAATTGTAAAATAACTAGATTCTCTCCTAAAGTTTTTAAAACAAATTTGCATTATACAGTGACTTATTTCTCTTTTGATTTTGGGTAAGGGTCAGCACCCAAAGCTCCTCTAGGTACATGGCTAGGCCCGAAATGCCAAAAGACTCAGGACCAAAGTCCTAACTGAACACATGTAACAAATCCCCAAATAGTTCCAAGCTATCTGGAAACTTAATTCAAAACACACTAATTTCTTACTAGTTAAATATGCCCAGGTGGCACAACATATGCATGTGCTGTTGCCTGCTTTGACAGTAGTCACAGGCTATTACCGATTCCTGACTGATGCTAAAATCGTTAGTGCCATGCAAAAACTACAATTCCTAACGGTAAGAATGAGATTGCTGTGATTTACCTACTGGGTCCCTCTTTTTGTCAGGACAAGACGCACATGACCAACCAGATCTTAGCAAGCAAGCGCTTTACCGGTGTTAAAGATCCAGATCTGAGTTTTGGAGCTCAGGCTTCCGCAGGAGCACTTCACTGTTTTTTCATTTTCAGAGTGTTCTGATGTAGTTAGGGATCTTTCCTTTCTATGATAAATTTTTCCCTCCAAAGAACAAAGCAGCAGCACATTTATAGTGCTGAAAATGTAAAACCTCTCCTTGCTAGCAAGGGTCCAGAAAACTATTTGGACACAAAAATCAGCATTTGCATCCACCAGTGTAATCAATATTGTAACAATCACTATTTGCAGGAAAATCACAATGCTTCATATATATTTTAGCAGGACAGGGCCAAAGAAGTTGGCTGGAATTGACTGAAATACTGTCTGGCAGCAGGTTTGGAAGTGTAAATCCCCTGCGTAGCATTGTCTCAGATGTGGCCATGGCAAAAGATTCTCGGCTCAGTGTTCCTTTTCTTCACAAGGCCAAAAGAGTATCTAGGAAACTGCGGTTTACTACCTTCTCTTGGATTATAAACTGAAAATATCACTGCTTTCAACATCAAGGAGTTAAGTGAGTAATTTTCATGATTTTGGAGGCCTCTGCCTAGCTAAAGGTTAGATGTTTGCAAGCAAGGGACACCATGCTTGTCATTCAGCGTGGGCTCAGCAAAGAGCTTCACAGATTTTCTTGTACTATAACCTAGGTGTGTTCCCCTCCCCCCCTTTTTTAATATTAATTGCCATTACACCTTCTTTTATATGAACAATCAATTGTTCTTTTTTTTTTTTTCTTTCTCTAAACATGTAAGTATTTAACTTGAGCAGAATCTTAATAAACAACGACTAAGTTTATCTTTATTATTTTTTTAGCACCATGCTCTGTACAATGTTATGCCAGCTGTTATGGATCTGTTTTTATCTGCATCTCCCTACTTACCAATAGAGCCGGAGAAACATGCTATTAGTTCATAAATGCTTCTTTATTTCTGGAAGACAAAAGGCTGTCTGCACTGAAGACAAAAGCCTCTCACCTTCAACATGAAGTACCCTCTCTTCAGGGAGATGCCATAGCTTTGGCTGAGGCTGGCAGACGACCTGCTTTTACAAGCCAACAGTCACACATCACTGCTCCAGCCAGAAGCGCCCCTACAAAGCACAACCCTGCAGCACTCCAAGCACAGATTTCTCATTTCCTTCTCCGCTGTCACACAGTGAAATTCAAATGGTTTGAGCCTCACTTCTTTTTATGCAACTGGAGGAAGATGCAAGGGGTTTAAGGCACAGAATACATCTTCCCTGATCCACAAATGCTGGGCGTTTGTGTTAAACATTTGAAGGAGATCAGAGCAAGAAGTCTCACATCTATTCATGGGCTTGAAATTCAGCACATGCATGAAACTTAGCAGGACTGCAGTTCTTTTTAAGTTCTCTAAATTGCTTGTTAAAAGTTTTAAGAAAGTGTTTAACTTGGACAACGATGCACTATCAGTACATTCCATAAACATCTTTTCCAAACAATATCAGTTTAAAAAAAGGAAAGGTTTTGTGAGTGAAAAGCAGGCAGTAGTTTTTTTCATTTCTTTATGCTACTTACTTTATCTGTTTCATTAAGTTACCATCCAGGTATGGAATGTAATGAATTTTCCTCTATTTTTTCTATCATTTTGCTGATGGATTTATTTCTCTGTTTTCTCTGTTACCACCTTCTCCCCCCTCTCCCCCATTTCATTACATTGATACTGCATTTCCTTTTTATTACTTCTTTGCTTACATCCTGAACGCCTCATGACTACTCAAAATAAATGTTCAAAAATACAGTAACAGGAGAATGCCTCAACATCTCCAGAGGCTGAATATCTCAACACAATATATTGTGGTTGAATTTTCCCATAAGTCTTTACCTATTTTTAGCAAGACATGTTTTACAACCTTATTACTTCCTAAGTTTTTCTCTTAAATGAGAAATAAAGCTTTCCAGGTTTCCATTTCAGTGTCTTTTTTTTTTTTTTTTCCTCCAGTATGAATTGATATTAGATTTTCTAGAGGTTCAAAGTTCATGTAATAATTCACTTTCTCTTGTACTGTTTTCAGCACTTACCTTTGCTTTAAATGTCAGAGCCTTTCACTTCTGTTACTTTAATTTCCTTGCTGCCTCCCTTTTCTCTGCGAGCCCTCATCGTGTATTTTAGTGTGGTCTCCCTACCTTTTTCCACTTCCAATACTATTTTTTTACACCTTATTGTATCTTTGATTTTTTTTTTTTTTTTTTTTTTTTGCAAAGCCACACTGACCACTTCTTGTTTTTTTGTTTTTTTTTTTTTTTTTTTTGTAATCCCTTTAGAGGAACTGTAGCATGCTGTACCTCAGCTTTGAAGTCTTGGTAGTCCCAGCTTTCCTTATACACAAATGGACTTCAACACGTTCTGTTGCTGCATGATCCTCACTGACTTACTTAATTCCTCCAGCTGGATTAATGGAACCCAGTGCTCTGACTTGATTGTTGGCATTTATCTCATATCAGGCTGAATTCGAGTATTTGATCCCTTATACATTGTTCTTGTTTGGTTATCAATGACACATTCTGAAGCATTATTCAAGAAAAGCAACTAAACACAAACACATGACTTACATATTTCAGGTTTTAAAGGCAAGCAACAAACTGTTGCAACAGAAGACAGGAGAACAGTGTTACAGTAAATAAATGCCTGAACCTCTATTATGTCAGTACAGGCAATAAATTAAGTTTTTGATACTTATGAACATGTCTGATACAAATGTAGAAAATGTAGATGCTGGCAAAATTCATTAGAAAATCACATCTCTTGGAAAGCAAGGAATTCAAGAAAAAATTATGAACATATTTTTCTTAATATTTTATTATTCTGAAGCTAACTCCTTTACAGACTGAACTAACTGGATGATTATTTCAGTTAGTATCAGAAGCTGAGACTACGACAAGCTTGGAATTGACAACATTAAACAAAACAACATTGCTGAGATGTTTAACAACTTTCTCTCTTAAGCCAATAATGACATGCACTTGCACTTTTAAACTTCTATTCAACACACTATTACTATGTGCCCACAATACATGTGCATTGAATTATTTCTTGTAGTAATTACTGGAACTGTATGTTATATTTTTAAAGCACATAACTGGACTAGCAAAAAGCTGACAAAAAATGTTTGAAAATTGAATGCACAGTTTCAAAAAGTCACACCCCAAATGGCTGCAAGTACAGAAAGAATACATCATTACTGCATGATTTACTGAATGTGTGGTTTTCAGGTATAAAATCAAACCCACCCCTCACCCGCCAAAACAAGACCACTTTTTATTAGTTGCTCTCTCTTACAGCTTCCCACAGTTTTTATTAAGTCCCCAAATGAAAGTCTTAGTCAAGTCTGGTCTTGACTGTTCATTGGGAAGACAGCTCTTGACTTTTGTGTAATGATAAAGTAATGGCAGCAAAACTGTTCTCGCCTCCTGAACCCCTATTCGCTTCCAAACAAATTTAATGGTGGTGACAAGAGGACTGACTAACAAGAGAGAAGAAGACAGTAAGACGGTAAGAATGATGAAAGACGAGAAGAAGTGAGAAGGACACAACAAAACCAATGGCAAATTGTGCTCTTCTTTAGCCTCACACATAGTCAGAAGTAGTTACCGTTCTGTTCCTTAATGCTGAAGGATATTTAGCTTAAACATACTTTTAAAGCATCTACTAACCTCAAACTCAGAGCACTTTTAATTAATTGTTAATTGCCAATGAAAGGAAAGCTTATTTCTATTGTGAAGGGTTTAACACCAATACTCAAATGAAGGGAGAAACTAAGGGGACAGGAAGATCTTTTCAGTTATCAAAGAAATAAGAAAATAAAAGCCTCCCAAATATCAGATTTAATGAACACTAAAATTGTAGATCATATCAGAAAAAAAAATTAAATTAAATGCAGAGAAAGTAGTGTCCTTCAGCACATTGTATATGAATACTTAGGCATCTGTAGGTAGTAATGTTTATTGCATAATTCTCAATAGTTTACAGACGCTGGGTCTTCCAGTTACATCAGCATTGCTCTACATCTAGAAAGAAACTGATACATGTGTATGTACTTAAATTTAAGGCAATAGTTGCTAAAAATATATTTCAACGTATTTTAACAAATGAAACTGAGATTGCAGCATGTAAATAAATATTTTTTCACAAACATATAGCCAAGAAGAATGTATGTAAACAAAACTGGCTTAGTCCCCTCCACAGAATGAAATACAGTAGACAGAAAAACATTTTGTCAAGATATTTACAACCAGAACTCTTACTCAGCAGGATACCTCTTATCATTACTCAAAGAGTTGGATCTCATAACTTCTTTTTCAATGAAATTCATTCCTTTTGATTTCCTCAGTCCTCAAAGGAACTGACGAAGTACAGACAAATGAGTGACGTCTATCGGCATTCATCTATCGAGTTGCCTGCATTGCATCGATGTCTATGTTTTCATCATTGCTGATGAAGAAGCTTGAAAACAGGTCAGCTGCAAGTGCATGCTGCTTTTAAATTTGTTGAGCAGCTCTTCTAATAACCTGTGAAAGGAAAATATTTATAATTTTGGTGGATTCTGAAAAGGGAACAATTACCAGAAGTTTTGGTTATTCTGTCTGTGACTTCAAATACATTGCCTGCGTAAATAAAGAGCCTAAAATTAGATCTAGTTTAAATATCTGAACCTTATAGATATTTAGAAATACACCAACTGTGTTGGGATGATCTGTGGTGAGAGAAGGACTTAGCCACAGAGATCTTATCAACATTATAAAATAGGCCTTTATATGCCTTTCCTTCCATATAAACACCATTTTCCTTAAAGAAACATAAATGCTAAACACAATAGCAAAAGGACTGGTAGAGAGGATCATAAGATACTGCTGTAAGGCAACTTTCAGACGGTGCCATAAAACCGGTATCCCTTATCAAGGCTATGGCATTTAGCTTGCAGCTGAATTCAGAATGTGAGTTCTCAAACTTGTCTTTGAGAGGTATTCCATAGTTTTCTCTTTAAGATTATGGCTAAAGGATCAGAAATAAAACGTCTGTTCCAGGAGACATACTAATACACTGGCAAGCATATGTTTTTGTCCTTTATAGATAACTAAGAAAGTATGAGCTCAATTTGTAGCATAGCAATAGTTGGATAATTGGTGCAATGGATGATATTTATTATAAACCTAACTGCAGGTTTAGGACCAACGATGTCAATAGTTCTATTGTAGGAGATATTTATTGTAGCAGTGGAGATGCAACACAAAGTTTTACAGTCTTTCCTGTATGCTTTATGTTCCTTGTATTCTAGGAAAGAACATGTTCTCCAAACTTTCTGCTCTATTTCAAAAACAAGCTAGATAGGGCAGACATGCATCACTGCAACTTCTTTGGCAAACTGTGATTATTGAACAGCCAGTAACAGAAGAAATTATACTTGAACGTTAAAAAAATACCACGAACAACAACTTGAACCACAAAATCGGTATCTGCTTCCTCAGCAAGCCCTCTGGAAGATGCCTATGGCCACATTCATCATTTAGTATCACAGTAATGACTGAATAAACTGAAACAAACATCTCTAAATTAGTGCATAAATGTGTGTTATTTTAAAACAAATATATATTATGGCCAGTGTGGAATGATGACAATTGTCATATAGAAACCTGAGACACAGAACAAATATTATGCTGTCTAAGGCTCAGAACTCTGAGATAGATGTAAAAATGATGCAGTTCTTGATTCTCATCTGTCCTACAAAAGCTCACACACTTGTGACCAAGTCAAAAAAACCCCAACCCTACAGGTGTTTCGGAAAGTCTGAGTTGAAAGAGCTATCTCAAAACTGATTCCTATCTTTAATAAAGCAAGAGACCCAAGTAAGGCAAGGGGCTATCTTGAGACTTCTTGTGGCTGGTGAAGAGTAGGTTTGAACAGAGAAAAGACAATTAGTATGGGCTGCACAAACAGGCTCTACTTTTGTCTACAGAATATTCTAAATTCTGAATGTTAAGTGCAGGCTGATTTGATGCAGTTCAGTTCCTAAAAGTACCTTAATAGCAACCTCAAGTTCAAAAAAGCTATATTTATACTAATATACTCATTACAAATCTGTCCGTGCTTTACCACTCTTTATTAAGCTATGCTTATAAAATAGACCACCAAATACTAGGTTCAATGCAGCACAGCAGCTTGGTTGTCAAAGTTTGCTATGGTGGGGGAGAAAGAACCCCAAAGGCCTCCTCCTGATGTTAAGAAAGAACAACAGAAACTTCTTGATTTTAAAATTAAACAAGCCAGTTTTGAGAATTACCCAAATATCAGCTGACAAAAACTTGGACTTTGTTCCTTGGTCATTTTCTTTACTGCTGCTAAATTCACTAAGACAAGACAATGGACCTCACAGAAACTAAGATTAGCATGGAAGGCTAAAATGGACTGAAATTATAAAATAATTACAAAGCGATTTAGAACTGATAAGGCTAGAATGGGAGAGACATATGCCACGAAGTCATCAGCTCAGTTCCTCTGTATAACTTAACAGGCCACAAGGAATAGGGGTTTATATTATTCTTGGCTCTGTCCAAAGAGGCTTCTATTTTGTAATTTTAAAAGGTCAAATATAGCAAAAGTTAACTCTCTTCTAGCAAAGCTCTGGTAGAAGAGTAAAAAGCAATGGCTCCTTAGAGCATAAGAAGAACAAGAAGCTGCAGTGTACTCACTTTTTGTCAGTTCCACTCGAGAGCTGAGGCAAGGCTTCCAAAGCTTGCTTAAAGCTTGAGCTGTAAGGAAAACAAAAATACTCATATTCCCCTGGTACAAGTCTCAACTTTCAGCTTCTCTCTATAATTTTCATAGAAATGTACAATATTTTAGCCACGCTTCTTATTTCAATAAATTAACAAAATGTTAACTTGACACCTGACATTCACGTGCAAATTATACAGAAAGTGGCCAAAGGCCCAAGCAGGTCTCTCAACACTCCTGATGCGATGTACAACATACACCAACAAGAAATGTTCAATCCACTGATTTAAGACTGAGTCTGATGTTCTGGACCCTCCAAGGATTTGAGGTAGTTTGCCAGCCTGCCTTCTGCCTAGAACTAAGTGAGCATCAGAGTGTGAAGCACAGATATAATGTTGATTTTGGCTTCCTGTGGTCAGCTGATAAGTCACTGCACTCTCCCCTAGAGAAGGGATCCTACAGAGATTTGCATTGTGCTAACACAGAATCATAGCATAATTGAGGTTGAAAGGGACCTCTGGAGGTCTTCTGGTACAACCCCCATCTCAAACTAGGGACAACTCTGAGGTTATTGAAGGTTTCTTGGGGCCAAGTCAAGTTTTGAGTATCTCCAAGGATGGGGGTTGCACACCTCTCCGGGCAACATGGAACAGCCATGCAGGGAATGATGCAACTCCTGCACCGATGGGTACAACCTTCTCTCAGCAGAATTAATATTAATTTGGTGGCTTGTGGCATCTACTGCTAGTGAAGGGACCAGGAATAAAAAGGCATCTATGAAGCTCCAGCTTCCGTGGTTCACTCTGATTCGCTCCCATTCTGCTCAGAAACAGCAGCACTTTCGTTTTATCCAATATAAGCTGGGGCCAAATAGTCCACATTTAGGTCTTCATCACTATCAGACGCACAGTACAAAGAAGCAAGTCTTGAAACTGAATGCAGTGACACCACAGAATACCGTCAGCAGTGACGTGACGACACATCAGTGCCTTAAGCCCTGCAATGTCTCCTGCAAAGTATCGGTCAGTTAAGAGAGAGTTAAGACCAAATCGCAACCTGTGGGAATGGGTAATGCCAATCCTAACAAAAGTGTAGGTAATCGAAAATAGTGAATGGACACACCCAGTCCCGTATATATTCAACTAGAAATTTCAATCAATGAACTTTACTCAAAACTGCTGACAGCTACCACAGTTTGTATTTTTACGTGTCTTGACTACACCAACCATATTAGTATATGCATGAGCACGTCCCCCACTGTTTAGCTCTGGTCTTTCACCTCCCTAAGAAATGATGCACTGCTGAAAGCTTTTCATTCTAATAGACAGGGTAAAGCTGAATTCACTCTCCTCAATGAGGTGTGTGGAAAAGGAGTAGGGTAACGTACAAGCTTGTGGAGAACCCTAATTCTCCATGTTCCCTTAAGGGGATCCTGCTGGTGTCTGGTTCTGTAGCCTCTTTGAAGTCTCTGGCAGACTCTCTGTGGTATGCTTTATGGGACCTCTGTAAAAAAATGGATGAAACTCAGTGGCATCTGCTTTTGCCTTAGCAACATTTTCCTCAGTAGCTGAAGTAAGAGTCATCATCCCTCCACCTCTTCCTTTGGTAAGAATGAAGAATATCTAGTCTTTGTCATCAATTAAAAAACAAAACAAAACAAAACCACAAATTCTTTCAAATGATAAAGCCATAGTAGTATCAATTTCCCACATATATATGTAATACATTACATATTCTATTTGTATCAATCTCCTGAAAATCCTTAATTTACACCATGTGTTTTTGCATGTTTACCAAGGACTCCACTACATGGAAATGACAGAAAATACAGCACAACTTACTTGCTCTCAGGTGTTAGGTATATGGCCACTGTATCCCTCAATGCACAGATTTCAAGTCTCGCCTGAAGACAGAAATGCAAATACTGAAACACTGAGACAACTTCCTTTGATCAGAATACCAGTATCCCAAAGCTTCATCTTTTTTAGAAGCAAATGCTACTGCATGCTGCAGTGGTAAGCAGCCTTGACTTCTAACAGTTTGTTTCCTGTATTTTTGGTTGCCATGCTGCTGTATCAGTTAGGAGAGTGCTAGAAGGAACAATTTCACATTTTTCATACTTTCATACAAGTCAAACTGTTTGCACGGTCACTATGTAGCAGTCTGAAAACATTGTTTTGTCTCTCAGTAACAGTAATAAAACTTTAATTCTGCTCCATCTTTTCCGTTCTGTTATAGACAGAGAAAGGGACACTACCTTGATAGGGTATGCTTCTTTTTTATTTATTTTTTTTTAATAGTGAGCTTGACTTCTTACAGCCTGACTTGCCCAGGAAGGAAGGAAACACAAGAGTACAAAAATCTGTCAATACACATTTTATTCTTGGTTTTGCTGTTGAATTTATTTTTTTTCCATCAAATGAGGAAGTAAAACAGTCGTGCTTTGCTTCTTGTCTGTCACCTGGTGGGCACACAAGCTTGGGGATTTGATTCCTGCACGGTACTGTATGTCTAGGTATTGATTTTCACCTAGTTCATTCTCTACCATACGTAAGAGTGGAGAATGAACTCAAGGATTAAACCAAGTTCACAAATCTTCCTTCAGTCTTTGAAAAATATTCACTCAGATTTTTCATGTGAAACAAGCATTCTGAACGTGGTCAATATTATAGCTATTTCATTTAAATCATAAATTGAACTTCATCCAAATTCAGATTCAGTTCTTATTCATCAAGGTACAATTTAATCCAGCTAGTCATTACAGAAAGTGATCTACGTGTAGAACAAATTAATGTGACATTACTTTTCCAAAACAAAACTTTTTATAATATAGCATAGACATCTAATTCTGATTCCAGTGAAAGCATTTGGCTTTTATGTCTTCTCCTTATCTCTCCCCTAGGTAGGAAGCCAGCAGAGATTAATGCATCTTTTTTTTTTGTACCAGAAATCTCACACAGAATAGGACCTAGCTACCCACCAATTTCATACCCATAAGGAATGCCTTTCTCACCACAGAATGTTTCACCTTTTCTGTATGGTGCTCCAAACTATCTGGGAGTTCTTGAAGGTCCACATATAAGGTTCTGTAGTTTTCCCTACATTTTATGAAGCAGCAGCAGAATATCCCAAATTGGAAGGGACCCACAAAGATCACTAAATCCAACTCCAGTACCATGTGACAGTGTCACATTCTCAGGCATCACAGCCTAAATAAACACGGTGTAAGGGCAAACATTGTGAAAGTATGGGCCATCTGATGTGAGTGTACAGATTTAGGCTTCTCTTAGGAAACAGGTCTCTTTTAAACAGACTGACACAGGCCCAGATCACTCTTATACTGCTGTTTCCTGCCTTGAGTGACATAGGGTTTTCTGTGCTCAGAGGAACAGAAAAGGATCATGAGTGAGAAATTTGCAGAAGGGAGAGAAAATCCTTCCAGTTATGGGTTTAGGCAGCAAGTTCATAGAGCGGGTCATCCAGTCAAATAAAAATAATTTACAGGTAGCTTTGTTGCTGTTCATTGATTTGGTTTTAAGCTGGCAGCCAATCTTATTTGGTTGTGATCTTCCTACATTAATCATCTGTCATGTGCAATTACTAATAGCAATTGGAAAATAAAGCTTGCATTTGGATATTTATTTTCCCACGATAATGCAAGAATGTTACCACAAACAATGAAAAATGAAGGTTGTCTCTTCCTGCCTGTTACAGCCATAGCAATCATTAGGTCAATGGAATTTATTTTTTAACATATGTAGCTTTTCTTCTATAAACTCCTTTAAAACTTTTTCAGCAGAAAAGACAACTACTGGTGCAATCACAAATGAAGAGGGCATTGTAAAAGTATCTGTTGCATCTGTTTTATGACAGAGTGCTAACACAGAAATAGCACAACAGGCATGTGACCAGTTCTGTAAAGACTTACAAGATCCTACAATACCACATTTTCAAGATTTTAAACCTCTAAATATTATAAAACTTTTTTTTTTTCTTTTCTTTTAAAATATTTTTTTTGGTGACAGGACAATGGTAGTTTAACAACAACTTAAACAGATACTGTTATGATGGTTTAGGCAACCTTATTTAGTGACTGATGTCCCTGCTCATTGCAGGGGGGTTAGAACTAGATCATCTTTAAAGGACCCTTCCTAACCAAACCGTTTAATGATTCTATGATGCTTTTTAACTCATAGGATATGGGTAACCTTTTACGCACTTACACAACGACAATGCTAAAATATGATCAACCCAAGGACTAGTTTCCCAAAGGGTATTCATCCATAAATATGAGAAAGAAGTTGTATACTAATCCTTTTAACCTCCTTGTTTTCACTGCTACAGTAAATCCAACAAATACACGTTATACCTCTCTGTTATTCTAAGTTTTATAAACTCAGATGTTTGACAGTACAAATGATTCATCTACCTGTAAAGCTCCATTTCTGCTGAAGGATGAAACACACTGCATCAGTCGACTCAATTCTTCAGAGACTGCTTCTACAATCCTTGACATTACCCGAGGAACTAGGTCTTTGGAAATGGTAAACACCTGATTTTTATAAAATAAGAATCATGAGCACAATGCCTATATATTGACATAAGTATTTTATAAAGTAACATTTTGGTAAAAAGCATTAAACACTTTGATTGAAAGGGCCATTGTATTTTTAACAATGGACAAAGAAATTCACAGCAGCTTGAACCTGAAGAATCCTTTGACGCTTGCCCCGTGCTTTGGCCAATCACCTCTGCTAACCACAGTGCTCGCTACCCGACATGCAATGCTGACAACCTTCTTGCAATACCTAAAAGGAAAGTATCTGCTCTCGCCTGATGCGTGCAGGTGGTCAGGTGGCTGTACATAAACTGCTGTTTTGTGGATAGCACCTTTTAAATTCAGGATTATGTCACTGACTGACCTAATTATGCATTCAGACACATTTTACCCAAGCATTTTGCAATTTCTTTTAGAACCTTTCATATGTGGCAGAGGCTCTGCTGCACACTTGCCTCATCACTGTCAAACGGCAAGTGTCTTTATGCTTTCTGTGGAGAAGAGTCTTAAAAAGGGTTTGAGACTATGGTGGCATAATGGATTTTCATTTAGATTTTTCCCTTACTGCAATTTGTTAGCTCCTGGGCAAAAACATTACATCTTACTGTTTTTTCCATGCATCAAGACTAGTTTTTAAACTGTTTATTTGTACAACTGTTCAAAGTGGTCACATCCTCCATCTGAGATTCAGAGCAGCAACTGCAACCTACCACCACCACAGAATTAAACATTAGATCTATGCCTAAAGGAAAGCATGAAGTAACCAGTCTTCCCTAAAGCTCACTTTAAGGAAGTGAGAAACTGTTGGTGAATTAAAAAAAAATAAAGTATGGTGTTCTACACAGAATTGGGGAAAATGCAGACCGAGAGGCTGGATATAGGAGGAAGTGAGACTAGGTTAGACAGATCAAAACTGTGTCATGACTTAAAGGTGATGATAAAGCTGCACTAAAACTGCATGAGGTTGGGGAAAAAAGATGACACAAGGAACTGAAGATAATGTGACTAGAGTGGTGCAAGAAGGAAAACGAACTGGATAGAGTTTGTAAAAAATGTTTCACCTGATTTCCTCTTTAAAATGACCTAGAGAATTAAGCAGTTGAAATTTTGCTAGAATAGAGTCTGACAAGGAAAAGTAGATAGAGATAACAGAAGATATTCATACATGTATGTAAAAATAAATTAAAGGGAACAAAAATGAATGTAGGATTCTTACCCACATTCCAGTGCTTGAAGCAATGAATTATAATCAGGGATCCCATAAGGCTGACCATTCAAACAGGCAAATTTGCATCACAGACTAAGTACACTGACCACATAGGTACACGCCAGCTATCAGTTTTTATCATTGACAATTCAAACATGCAGCCTTTGCATGTACTTTGACTGTTTTGACCCACAAAAGCTATGTAACTGACATACTTAGCTTTACAGTAAAGAAAAAGTAATTTATGCATGGGTCATCTTATTCAGCAGCAAATATTGCTGAGCAATTCAACACAAACGTACCAGGAACACACAAAAAATCTTCTACTGAGAAAAGAGTATTTGTGCCCATAACGAGCACTCTTGATGTTACTATAGAGAATCCAAGAAAAAAAAGTTCTCAGCAATGGTGAATCATCACAAATTTGCAATATGATGCCCTTATTTTGATTTCAGCTGAATTTGAATTCAAAGGTAGTTCTCTTTCCATGCTCATTGTTCAGCTGATTGTTAATTTTTGCTGTTTCAAACTACAGAAACTTGCAGCTTTGCTAACTAAACTTAAATCTGACCCAGCTTAGAGAATTTCAGCAGAAAACAGTGCAAATGGGAGTTTCGTCTTGACACATTTTCACATTTCTGCAATATTTCACATGTAAAAATTCATGACGCAACACACTATTTGGGCCAAAATTAGTATCAGTCTCAATGAAGTCAGAAGCTAGTGCACCTTTCTGCAGGAGAATTTTAATAAGTATGCCTTTTATCAGGATTAGCAAAAGAAGTCAAAAATGCCTTTGAATCTTTTAATGCCCAAGCCCTCGTTTTTATTTTTATTAATTTCAACTACACTGAAAAACTGCAAAAACAAATGAATGTCATGTTGGTATCTAGTTTTGTTTACTCCCTCATTCTGAAGAATTTGGTAAAATAATCAATGCTAGTGTGAAAACTGCTGTAAGCATATATTGAAATCCAAACAATAACATTGCAACCGATAGAATATTTTTTTTTTGAAGATATTACATTTTGATTTACATGAAGCTTTGTAATTCATGGAGGAGTAAAATAAAAAGGAACCTCAGATGAATCTTAGCAGGTTTTAAATAGATTAATAAATAGATGTTAATACGTAGAGCAACTATACTAGTGATATTTTGAAAGGTATTTCTGATAATACAAAGATAAGAGTAATACTATTACCAGCATATACACCAGGAGCAATAGTAATCTGATAACACTCTCAGTACTCAGAAGGAAGGAACTTGTAGAACTAGTTGTAATTTAAAGTACTATAGAAAATTCCTGTATATTACCACAAGAGGCCAAATAACTGAAGCTCTGCAAGCTGTTAATTTTAATAATACTTAAATTTTAATATAGACTCTCTGTCATAAGCCATTGCCTACCCAAGTATTTCAAGTGCTATTTGTGCCATATAGAGACTACAAAAAATTCTGTGTTTAGCTTTTCATTTTTTATCCTATGTAGAAGAATATGATATATATATTGCCTTTTCAGTACAAAGGGCATATATCAAATATTTGTTTTAAATAAAGTTTAGCACAAGCTTGTTTCTATATGCTGTGGAAAATAAAGTTAATCAGAGAAAGTGAGCATCATCATCATCTTGCTTCCCCTCCCTCCCCCCACTTTGTAAGGAAAGGGAAGAATTCAGCTTTAGACTTTGGCTTTCTTTTTCATCAGACAGTGGAAAGAAAAAGGCACTCCAAAACATGTAACAAAGTGTTACTGAGGATAAACAGGAACCGTTCATCTCTTTCTGCCTTTAAAAAAGTTAGCAGTTTCATACTTGGTTGGCTAAACCTAACCCAAAGCACCAACATCTATAATGAACACACTTCAACAGAGCTACAGTTTTCAGGGGTATGAAAGCCAGAATTTACTGAGCAAAATACACTGAAATTATTCATCTGAATGTAAGCATTGAACAATCTGAAGTCTTCTCACCTCTGCATGCACAGCAATGATATTCACTAATGCTTCTTTCAAATAGTTTCTGACACCTGAAAGAAAACAAAAAAGGGTAATTAATTACTTTCATTCTATCATCTCAACAAGGCCATAGTATTCTACAGTTCAATACTGTACTTTTTCTTTTCATTTCTTTCACTAGCACTTTTGCAATCAGAGGCAGAAAGAGAAAGTTCCATAGCCACACCACCAGTCTATTTCCTTTTTCAAATCAAATGGAGAAAGGCACATTTCCTTACAGCAAAAGGTTAAAAAAGCCAGCAGGTTCCTGTTTCAGTATTCTTCTCTGGCAACCCAATTTTACCAGCTTTGCCATTTAATAAAAACTTAGCGTCATTATAAAAAAAAAAAACAACAAACAACTTCAGGATGTCTTGCTGGAATGCACTTACCATGGCATAGGACATGCACTACAACTTGGTAAGTTATAAGGAAACAGAGAACACAAGGGAACGCTTATATACCACAGCCTTGAAGAAGGCCTTGCTACTTTATCAGCTTATCTAACTGTATATTATTATTATAGATAGAAATAGCAAGGATTCTTGTTTCTCTGAAAGTGGTTCAGAAGGTATTACTCATGACAATTTATACGGAGATGTCAGGTCTTAGTAAAAATTTCCTCCTGGGGAAGGTGAAGAAGTTAAGCAAGCACTTTATTTACCAAGCAAGTGAAATAATTGTCAATTTATACTATGCCCTAAACAGGAGGACATTCAGCAGGGTATGTTTTATAGTTAGGACAGGCTCTTAGTCCCCTGCACTGCATCTGGAATAACTTCAGAGGACTGGACTGGAAGGATCTGGAAGATCTAAGATACGGTCGTGAATAGTGTCGTGAATAGAGACAGCAATGTCTCGCAACTGCCATCTCAGCTGTGGTTAAATTTGCTTTATGAAGTGAACGCTGTTCCCACAGCCTACCCCAAGATCTAAGAAGGAGATACTTACTCTTTCCTAGACAATCCTTATGGACAAAAACTTTATGAGAGTAGGACAAAAGGAACACAGGATCCCCTTGCATGAGATACAAACACATTTTTGCCTACGTCTACGCCGTGTGACACGGTGCGGCCTAGCGTTCAGATTGAAGGGTGCTTCCTGAAGCACCTGCAGGTCTCCTGGGGGAAACAAGGGCATTTGGGGGAAAGTGGAGGGAGAGATGCTGAACAAGGAGCCCTTTCCAACACGTAGCCAGGATGTCACTAAGTTCTGCACCCAAACCCGTGCACAGGCCGTCTCCGTTTCAGAAGTTCATGGCAAAGAGGCACACGTCAAAGATGACTTTACAGCTCTCACTAAAAGCACTTTGGTTTCTAAACATACAAAAGCATAATGATCTTTACAGAAATAATGTTCTATTTTCACTTTGGAAGAAATGCAAATTAATGAAAAAGGTAAAGAATAAAACAAGCATTTCAGATATATTCCAAAACATCTCTGATACCTTTTGTTGCTATCTTTATTCTTTTCCATGAAAAATTTGTCATTCTTTCCATTTAAACTAGATGAACAACAAATCAAACAACATAGTATACTAGTATGCAAGCATATAGTTTCTTGTTATCTTAGTGATTTTTTGCAACAAGGAAGGAAGGGAGGGAGGAATAGAGCAATAGCAGAAATTTTATGAAACTTTTTTTTTTTCTCTCTCTCTCTCCTCTGTAACCTGCAAAACAAAGTAAGGATGCTACACACCAGAACTCGAACCACACCAAAAGATCACAGGTATGTGTGGAAATGCAACACCCCCTTCCTTTTTCCTCTTCTGCTGCTCTCCTCCTGCCTCACTCTGCCCCAGTTTAAATCCCCCCCCCCGGGCTTCGTATCACAGAGGACAAAATTTGTACCACCTCCCACAGTCAAATATACCTTGACAAGGCACCAAACGGTGGTATGCAAATCACGTCAAGAGGTACAGGGCAGATTTGGGAGCTGGTTTACAGTTAACCTCAGGGTGCAAAGTGTTGATTTCGGTCTGCAAACCTATGCGGTATTCAGCTCTTGGCTGTCTACTGGCCTCATCTTGTGACAGGAGGATCTTTCATGTGGAAACTGTGTGCTTTTACGTTTGCACAAATGCCATGCAACGTTAGGACTTATATGGTCCCTTATGGATGCTTGAGCACTGTCAGAGCATGTTCATTAATCAGTCAAAGTTATAAACAGAGAGGGCAGGTGTCTGCCCTAAAAAGAGGAGGCCAGCTGGCTGAGCTGGGAAGAAGTGTTATTTGGGAGGTGAGTGAAATGCTGGGATGCATACAGGCTGATCTGGGTGGGCTGTATGAGAGAGTGATGTGGTTTGACGGAAGAATCCTCGTCTTCCACCCATCCCACCAGAGCTCCTGAGATAGCGTGTCTCTTCGGGTGCTTTTAAACAGGTTGGTTCAGCACAGCAGCTGCTAATTCTGTCTGCTGCTGCTGTGAGAGCATCCAAATTAAGCTGCTCTTGGCTGTGATAATAAAAAAAAGGTTGCCTATCACATCTGTCTGAAGAAACCTTCCATGACAAAATTCTTAAAAAATGCAGCCACTTGGTTAGGGTTTACAACCAGGTAACGTCACAGGTTTTAAGCACCACTGCCTAAGACAGACGACATAAATGACCATTTTCACCTTGCACCCTTGCCCATGAGAGCTTACAGGAGACTATTTCTTTGCTGCAATTCCAGCAGCTAGCACTAATGAGATGTTCCTGTGGTTCTCTTATGACTGCAGAATCAGAGGACTCAGCACAAGCTCAAATATTTCCTCAGTTTCTTAGGCTTTGCAATTTAACGCCAAAGAATTCAGCACAAACTGAGCTAATATTAGTAGCAAAGGTATGCAGCTTAGAGGCAGTCCACGCATATAAAACTGTAGTTGCCTTAATTACAGCATCTAAGAGTCTGAAAGACCTTGACTTGGTAAGCTAAACTAACCAAAGGTGGAGAGAGGATGCGACTGCACTCCAAAAATGCCAGTAAGTATAGGCAATCAGGGAGAAAAGAGAGAACTAGTTGAGCTTAAGAACAATATTGGCACCCCAAAGAAAGGTAGAAATTAATTGTCCATCAGTAAATTGAGGCTGGAAATTAAAAGTAACTATGTAACAGGTTTGATCTCACACTGCTGTTGAATATGTAGTGGTGTGAAAACCATTGCTGCCTGGGAGTCAGTTTCCTATCACGAACAGTACATAAAAAAGGTAAAAAGGGTATTTCCCCCCCCAGCCCTTCTCTTCTTTTTTTATGAAGGATTTTAGTTTTTGCATGTGGAGACAAAGCCAAGCATATCTGAATGTCAGGACCTGCAGGCATAGTTAATGACTATACTATATTTTGAACAACTACAATTAAAAAATATCCAATTTCTGATTTATATCACTGCACTGTTTGTGGCAGGCTTTGTTGAAGCAAAGTATTACTTTTCTGGAGTATGATTCAGTGGAAATACAAGCAGTGGCATCCAACTGTGAATTTGTTGTGAAATTCATTTCAAAATGAAAAAATTCTGTCTAGAATAGAATTTTTGTGCAGCTTTCTCTACAACTGTTCAGCAGCCCACGCAATTACAGTTTTTGGGACACCATGCTGCCAGTCCTATTATACAGCACTGAAAGCTAATGCAGCATATAACTGTAGGTTGCAACTATTAGGCTAATCAAGTGAAACATAACATTCTTAAGTCTAAAATACCTCTTATTTAGCATATTGAAGCACAAATACAATACCTTTCCATAGCTTCTGACAGAAACGTGTTAAAGAAAGTCTCAACAAGCCCTAGCAATTTCTCTCAAGAAAATGTTATTATTTTGTTACAGCATAAATGCATTCCACTCCCACTCTATTCTTAACGCCAAAGAATCTGACTTACTGGAATTCTAGCTTCCACTAACAAAGCCCCACGAACGCTATAAAGAAAATGGATGGGAAGACTTGAGACATATAAATGAAGGACAGTTTCAGCCATCAACTATCACAATGGCTGACAGAAACTTTAAAATAGCATCTTCCAATTTGGGCCCTCCACTGCACTTTTTACCGGTAAAAAAAAAAATCTAGCAAGATTATCCATTAAATTTAATTTCCAGTCTATACCACCTATTAACATTTTTACAAATGAAATCCGTCAGAAAGTCTACATCTACGAGCAATTTTAACGATACTACAAAGCCGTAGCAAGGATGACTGTGTGAACTATGGGAAAAGGAGAACGGAAAAAGATTTGTGGTTCTGAGGATTAGCAGAAACTGATCTCGTAGCCTGACAATGCAGGAGTCATTCAGGAGATGTTCGGAGGGGGTAGCGCTACCAGTTGTCCCACATGTGGTTCTAAGAGCTATGTTTCCCCCAAGTACACAGATGACAGCATTCTACTAGGAAACCTCCGAAGTGACTGAATAAGCATGCAGAAGTTGGAACTGCAATACCGTATGTGTAATTCTAAGATGCAAAGAAGCTACAAAAACTTGCAGGCACAAATAGAACAAAACTTACACATGCTACAACTGAACTCAACAGGATGATTTTTTTTCCGAAGCCAACAAAGTTTTTCAAATGATCCCAGTCATTCAAGAGTAAGAAAAGAGGATATGAGTAAACTTTTTTTTTTTTTTTTAACCTATTCTGCAGAGCAGAAAACACAAGTTCAAAGAATGAGTAGTAGTTCTGCTAGGACAACACAAACACACAGGAAATGTTATCCCCAGCAGCTTGGGTTTGACATATTTTAAACTCTTGTGAAATTGGGGTCTCATTTGAAACGGACAGAGCTAGGAGGCCTGGGAAGCTAATTTCGCTGCTGTTTCTTGCTAAACAATCCTTTCAGCCTGCCGATTGTGTGAAAAGGAGAAGGGCGGGATAAAAGCATACAACTGTTTAGAAAAAGTGGATGGTGTCAGCAGTTACCTCAATTCACTGGCAATAAGCCGCACAAGTGATGAGGATTAGAGGATACAAGGGACAGAAAGAAAGAAGGGTCCAAGGTCAACTCACAGTCAAATAAAATCAGGCAGGAGCATTAAAAGCTGCAGCTCTTCTGTGGAGGAGCT